ATTTTTAAATTTTATAAACAATCTTTTATCATATCATTTACGTTTTTAAGTTTTTAACCAAAAATTCTTCAAAGAGAAACGTGGTTTATAGATACCTACTATAATAACTAATATATAAGGTATACTTTCCTACTCATACAGACATACAGTCATATCTATTACCCTTAAATTCCAAGTTTCCTACCATGATTTACCTTACCTCCAAATCGACGAACTATTGAAAATATAGTGCATTATTATTTATTAGATATCATACCTATAGCCTATAGGTATAAAATATAAATACATTAATTATATAAAAAATGGGAAGCATTCGAGATATTTATACCTACGTGCATCTACATACAAAATAGTAGGTATACATACTTAATTAATATACTTAACAGGCCCGTATACAGGGGGGGATTTAGGGATTAAAGTGAAAATTCCATACATCTACGTAATTTGTTTTAGAGTTAGGTACATCAATATCTAAAATAGATTTTGCATAAAAATTGCCGTTTTTCCTTATTTTTTTTTTTTGTTTTTCCCGATGCTTTTGAAAACTATTGGGAATTTCAACATTTGACCTTACCAATGCACCAACTAGATTCACTTTCCAACCATAAAAGCTACTTAAATTGAAAATCGAATCATTATTTAGACAACTTAACGTGTCCATTGTACATAGACACACAACATTGTAAAATCAATACAATCATCATTTCGCTCAGAATCTAAAACAACATCTAGGTAATAATTGAATGAGTGTAAAAATGTTTTTCGGTTAAATTATTTATCGATAATAATTAAAAACTCATCAAATAAAAATAAAAGTTATTTTGTTTACCAAATTTCTAACTTAATTAGAAGTTAAATTATATAGTTTTATATATTTATATTTACCTAGCTACAGCCGTGGTTTATTAAACAGTTCATTACAAAACATAGATATATGGGATTGATGAAATATGTATCTAGAGATCCATCATTTATCGTTATCATAAAATATTATTAGGTATAATAAGTAAAAAGGTAACTTTCCAACTAGCTAGTGTCTACTGCTCAGCACCGAGTAATTAAAATTGGAAATTTATATAAATAGGCGGGTTGCATATTAACATTCCGCACATCAAATACCCATAGGTTAGGTTACAAAATAATACTTAAGCCTGTGGCGATACAAACTTCTGTTTTTCAAATGAGAACCCATTTTTAACTGTAAATTTAGTAGGTAGATGTTATTAAAAATTTTGATGTACCAAATTAAAAATTTGAATTTGTAGTTTCTTAGTTATTGAAATGTCTATACCTACTAAGGATAATTGTCCTTAAAAATCGTTTTTAAAAAATATAAAATACATATATGTACTATTGTAACTAGTATTTATGATGCGTAGGTCATTTCTACAAATTATTTATGTTGTTAAATTAATATTAATGACAAATATTTTCAAATCCACCATAGACCACATATCTTATAAACTTAAACGTCCTAAACCATGGACCTTTTATCCTTAGAACAAGTTAAATATAGCTCAAAAACTACACAGTAGAATTTTTATTGCAATACATCAAAATTCTCAAAAAATTATTAGTTGAATAATTTACAGTAAAAAATTGGGGTTCTCATTTGAAAAACAAAAGTTTCAATTGTCACACGACACACCCTAAATGGCCTAAATGGTACAAAAGTCTTCGAGTATATTTAAAGATACTAAAAGTCTGATTTTATTTTATTTTATTTTACTGCACTATTAAGGAAAAAAAGAGGTGAGCAATGAGCATGCTTGGTGAATTACCCTGTGTATGTGGAATTGTGTATCCGTCCTGAAAAAAATATTATTAATTTCCAAATAAAACACATATTTTTTGTTAATCGGTATTAACAATTTGTTACCGGTACCTATTCCACATTTCTACAGAATATGATCATTGACCATCTCGTATGATAAGTAATATTGTTTAATAGGTACCTACATAATTGATAGATTGCATAGTATTTTTTAATGTTGTCAATGTTCTGAAAATAACAATCAGTACATCTACAATTTACAATTAGATGTCTTACTAATCAAACTATTTAATTGGTAGGTATATTTTATTTATTAGATTTTGCAACTTTCTATTAGATAAAAAAAAACAGTCTAATAATAATCGATAGGAGTATAATAATTAATAATACAAATACTTTTTAGCTATTTATAAAGTTGTTATTATTATTTTTTACATACCTATCAAGTTATCAATACCTGACGGCTGACATGATAGCAAGTTGTGATGCAACTATGTTCTTACTTCTTTTTAAAAGTCATAGGATACCTACATGTTGAAACTCCTTCTAAAAATAGATTATAAAATATATAAACAAAAACAAATATATTCAATATTCATRATATATCTAGTTTGATTTTGAACTCGTTAAATCAAATATTAATACAATATATCTTTAACTTAAACTCATAAGCTAGGCCAAAAGGTATTTAAACGTTTTTGTCATAGGCATAAATGGAGTGGGGTCTTGGTAGGTATACAATTTTTTTAATTTCATTTTCATGTATCATCTTAAAACACAACAAACCATTTATTTTAACTATGTTTTGATGTGTTGTCTCATTATAGTCAATGTAACGGATGTATTAAATTTGAGTTAAATATTAGAAAATAGTTATATACAAAAAATAATTCTTATCAAAGACGACCATCAACCTATCATATATTACTACTATGCTCGTACAAAATTATCATGGATTTACATCAAAATTTCTTTTGAATTTTCACCTACCTAGAACTTAAAAAAATCTTGCTTTAAATTTTCAAATTTTTTGATTTAACAAATTCTTTTTTCTTTCAAAATAAAATGTTTACTTACAGTATTATAAATTATTAAATTATAACGTTGTAAATATTATTTACTTGAAAAATAAGCATCAGCCAATAAATGTATTACATTTTTATACAAATTATCTATTTATTATATTAACAATCTGCAAGTATCCAAAGTTGGGCAAGTGCCAAGTCAAATATCTTCAACTTGTGTTAATTTTAAAGTCAAAAATAGCCCAACTTAGTTAAAAATTAATTAATTATATTTATTTTCTTAACTGAATATACGAGAACACCATAACTACACTATACTAAGAAAATTAATAAATTATTTCTCTAAAAATACTGACAATAAATATCAAGAAAAGGGTTCAAAGTTAAAAATATATATCAAAAACAATTTTTCATTACGTTTATAAATTTAATATAAACAATATTAACCACAAAGTACTAACTTGATTTGGTAAGAAGTAACAGTAATAAAGCTCATAAATAAAAACAATATTCCACTATTGGAAAAACTTTAAACATTAAAAAAACATAATTTTTATTTTTTCAAAATATGACTAAAGGAAAGGATGTGATCGTTTTCAAATAAAAACACATATAATTGTTTGTTTCAAATTGTTTTGTTATTTTTTCAGCCTTACAGTTTCAGCGAGTTAATTATTTTTCCCTAATGTTTCAGAAAAGTCTTTAACAATTTTTGTCAATAATCGTCTTATTTGGTAATATGTTATTATAGTTCACAAGCAACCCGGAAAAACATGTAATGCTACATATAATTTTTGCAATTACATTAATAATCATAATAATCGTCATCTCATAATCTACTTGAATTATTAGTAGGCTATGTTATAAATTATAATTACTTGACTACATATATGAATATAATAATGCTCACAATAACTCATGCTACTTAAATACTACATATTTAATCTTCTTAAAATACACGTACATTATTATTTAAAAAGCCATACATGTAACCTTAAAATATTCCTGATCCCTCAAGTAAATAAATATAATTTAGTTAAATATATCTAACCGTACATAAAAAGAAATTGTGCATTAGCATACTAAAATTGTTCAGCAGAAATTATTGGTTAAATTTGTAAATACAAATTAAGTATATTATGTTGAATATTATATAAATGCTTTCTTATGTGGTATAAAGCAAATTCAAATAACTTTAGGTTACAAATAGATATTTATTTTAAGTTAAACAATTAATTAAAAATATCATGATAAGTAATACTTTTATATGAAGAATATAGTATATATTTTAAGACAAATTAATTATGATACATTAAAATAACAATGAACCAAATTGCACATAGTTAATATAGATATCAAATAGTTGCTGAATAATTTTAGAGTTTGCAAACTGTCCAGTTAACAATTTCAAACATAATTTACACTAAACGCATAATAATTATCAATTATAAACTTAAGTGCAATTAATATGTTTAGTAACCATTATTACTATGATTACGATGTTATTCAAAAATATTACTTCATTAATATTTATTACAATATAATATATTTACAATATAAAAATCATGTTTACAAATTGTATAAGTTTTTACCTTACAAAACAATGCATAGTTGGTTTTATGTTCAATGATTTTTATTTTTTCATTTTTTTTTTTTTTTGGAAAATACATTTTAATTGCAAGACAAAAACAAATACAAAATAAACATGCCTTTTTTTCGAAAAAAAAAAAACAACAATTAAAATACGTTACAATAGTTCATACTCATAATTTATCACAGTTTAGTTACGTCTTATACTAGTTTATGTTTGGCATAATTTGTATGTATGTCATCATACCTGTATAGCTAAATTTCTTTTAAACGAATGCTTATACAAACCTAAAAGCTCGAAAGATTAACTGTGAGTATAGTCATGTGATGAAAAATTAAGTGGAATGAAAAAACTCTATCTGAACGATGATTATAATAAATAAATAAACAAACAAGACTTAGATTTGTACTAGAAAAAAAAAATAATAAATGTGTATTTGAGTTGATAATAATAAAAAAAATCTGCTTAAATACTATGACTTAGTGTTATTCATGGGTATTTTAACCTTAATTTGTATATTTAATTTTATTATATAGATACTGCATAAATGGTTGTATTTACAATCGCTAGTTAATATTAATTACGAAATAAAATTTTAYTGTTGAGTAAAGGTTAACTTAAAGTAGAAATTTAAGTTTTGCTCACAGTTATAGGATTATTACCCTTGATTTAAAGTAATAGATTAAAAGCTAATTTAATTA